CGTGGCATTAACATCGTCGACGACACCAATTTCTGTCAGGTCATTAAACATCGACGTTTCAACGACGACGTTCACACGCTGTGCCACGTGCTCAGTCGACGCCATTTGCCGTGCCACGTGACATGCTGTGTTAAACAACGACGACGTTTCAACGACGCGTCGATTATTGTGGCGTCAGCTCAACTCCGCTGGATGACGGACCATGAATCGACGCGCCCTGAAACTCTTGGGCACTCGATAATCGAATTCTGTTTGGCAGCGTTGGGTGGCGGAGAGCCATTGAAGACATAAATTTATGTCAGATCATTCAGCGGCCTTCTCCCACGACAGCCACACAAACACAACGACAGACACAGAGACACACAGACAGACACACACACAGCCACACAAACACACAGACAGACACACATATACACAGACAGACAGCCACACAAACACAAAGACAGACACACAGATACACACACAGACAGCCACACAAACAAACACAAAGACAGATACACAGACACACGTACACACACAGTCACACAGCCACACAGACAGACACACAAACACAAAGACAGACACACAGACACATGTACACACACACAGCCACACAGACAGACACAGACAGACAAATACACAGACAGCCACACAAACACACAGACAGACACAGATACACAGAGAGACAGCCACACAAACACACAGACAGACACACAGATACACAGACAGACTGCCACACAACCACACACACAGACACACGGACCACACCAACGTGAGATCAGTTCGAGTGCACAGGCGGTGGCAATGGAACCAAGGCCGCATCCCAACCCACGGCGCCACGCCACACGTGTGACAAGAGACGGCGAGCCGATACCACGAAGACCCCGGGTCCCTGGGTCCAGGTGTCCAGGGGTCCAACATCCCGGTTCCCGGGTCCCGGGGGCCTGGGGTCCCGGGGTCCGAGTTCTCGGCCCCGCCGTCTCTCTTGGCAGCGTCACAATGGGCTGCGCGTCAGACTCGGAGAGCCGCGTGGGCTGTCGAGTGCGCAGGCGGTGCAACTGCCACCTCGTCTCCCACTTGGAGACCAACCACTACCAACAACTACCACTACCACCCACCACCAACCACCACCACCCACCACCACTACCACCCACCACTACTATCAACCACCGCCAATCACCAACCACCACCACCCACCCCCACCTGGGGGACGAGGATCTCAGTCTCGCTGCAGTTCACTTGTCGCGAGAGTTCAGCGCATCGACAAGGCCACCACCAGTCACCACCGCCAACCACCAACCACCAACCACCACAACCACCACCAACTACCACCACCAACCACCAACCACCACAACCAACACCACCACAACCAACCACCAACCACCACCAACCACCACCAACCACCAAAACCAACCACCAACCACCACAACCAACCACCAACCACCACCAACCACCACCAACCACCACCACCAACCACTACCAACCACCAACCACCACAACCAACCACCGCCACCACCAACTACCAACCACCACCAACCACCACCACCACCACCAACTGCCAACCAGCACCACCATCAACCACCACCAACCACCAACACCAACCACCACCAACCACCAACCACCACAACCAACACCACCACAACCAACCACCAACCACCACCAATCACCACCAACCACCAAAACCAACCACCAATCACCAAAACCAACCATCAACCACCACAACCATCACCAACCACCACCACCAACCACCACCAACCACCACCACCAACCACTACCAACCACCACCAACCACCAACCATCACAACCAACCACCACCAACTACCAACCACCACCACCATCAACCACCACCAACCACCACCACCAACCACTACCAACCACCACCAACCACCAACCATCACAACCAACCACCACCAACTATCAACCACCACCACCACCAACCACCACCAACCACCACCACCAACCACTACCAACCACCACCAACCACCAACCATCACAACCAACCACCAACTACCACCACCACCACCAACCACCACCACCAACCACTACCAACCACCACCAACCACCAACCATCACAACCAACCACCACCAACTACCAACCACCACCACCATCAACCACCACCAACCACCACCACCAACCACTACCAACCACCACCAACCACCAACCATCACAACCAACCACCACCAACTACCAACCACCACCACCATCAACCACCACCAACCACCACCACCAACCACTACCAACCACCACCAACCACCAACCATCACAACCAACCACCACCAACTACCAACCACCACCACCACCAACCACCACCAACCACCACCACCAACCACTACCAACCACCACCAACCACCAACCATCACAACCAACCACCACCAACTACCAACCACCACCACCACCAACCACCACCAACCACCACCACCAACCACTACCAACCACCACCAACCACCAACCATCACAACCAACCACCACCAACTACCAACCACCACCACCATCAACCACCACCAACCACCACCACCAACCACTACCAACCACCACCAACCCCAACCATCACAACCAACCACCACCAACTACCAACCACCACCACCATCAACCACCACCAACCACCACCACCAACCACTACCAACCACCACCAACCACCAACCATCACAACCAACCACCACCAACTACCAACCACCACCACCACCAACCACCACCAACCACCACCACCAACCACTACCAACCACCACCAACCACCAACCATCACAACCAACCACCACCAACTACCAACCACCACCACCATCAACCAACACCAACCACCACCACCAACCACTACCACCAACCACTACCAACCACCACCACCACCAACCATCACAACCAACCACCACCAACTACCAACCACCACCACCATCAACCACACCAACCACCACCACAACCACCACCACCAACCACTACCAATCCACCACCAACCACCAACCATCACAACCAACCACCACCAACTACCAACCACCACCACCACCAACCACCACCAACCACCACCACCAACCACTACCAACCACCACCAACCACCAACCATCACAACCAACCACCACCAACTACCAACCACCACCACCATCAACCAACACCAACCACCACCACCAACACCACCACCAACCACTACCAACCACCACCAACCACCAACCATCACAACCAACCACCACCAACTACCAACCACCACCACCACCAACCACACCAACCACCACCACCAACCACTACCAACCACCACCAACCACCAACCATCACAACCAACCACCACCAACTACCAACCACCACCACCATCAACCAACACCAACCACCACCACCAACCACTACCACCAACCACTACCAACCACCACCAACCACCAACCATCACAACCAACCACCACCAACTACCAACCACCACCACCATCAACCAACCACCAACCACCACACCACCACCACCAACCACTACCAACCACCACCAACCACCAACCATCACAACCAACCACCACCAACTACCAACCACCACCACCACCAACCACCACCACCAACCACTACCAACCACCACCAACCACCAACCATCACAACCAACCACCACCAACTACCAACCACCACCACCATCAACCAACACCAACCACCACCACGAGATCTCGGTAACGAATCGACTCCTGCCACCAGCCGATACGCGGACGTCCAAGTCGCGGACTTTGCGACCCAGGGAGGCCCCAGGTCGGCCGGACTACAAACTTAAAACATATCAATATTCGTGTTTTTAAATGTATTTTATTTTACCAGGTAAGGCCCCGCTGAGCTGCTACGTAGCTCTCTCTCTCTTTTTTTCAGAAGCAACCTGGCCATCGCGAATGACAGCTCAACGGAATGGCTCAACATCATCATCTGCGTCGGCGTGTAGTCAATGTACAGCAGCAGCAGCAAACCAAACACTCTCTGGACGCGTAGAGACGTCCATTCTAAACGTGGAGGGGAGGGGGAGGGAGGGGGACCCCGGAGGCTCCCGAAGAAAGATCATCGCAGTCAACACAAGGGGAGAGAAAGAGAGAGAGAGACACTCAGACTCCAAATATATAGCAGCAGGCGTCAGGGTCGGGATTTAACCCACGACCTCCTGCATACCAGGCGAGGTTTTTAACATCTCGCCATGGGGATGAGAGACACGCAGACTCCAAATATACAGCAGCAGGCGTCAGGGTCGGGATGGAACTCACGAACCTCCTGCATACCAGGCGAGGTAGTTAACATCTCCTAGCCACCGTGGCGCAAGAGGGAGTAGTGGATGGGGGTGGGGGGGTGGGTGAAATTGGACAGAATGGGTGTGGGGGAGGGGCGCACAATGAATGAATTTCGCCAGGAGACCCCCCAAATCCAACCAAGATCACCACGCAACTGGCGTGGCCATTGAGTGGCACCGTCACTCAAGCACCGAGGCAAGGATCACGACCGCGCCGTCGTCATTGCGACCCCCCCCGCCCCCCACACACCCGGCACGGGTCGCAAAGAGCTTCGCAGCTCATCGGATTCATCCGCTCGAAAATGCCTGATTCTGAGTCGCGTCCATGGTTCTCAGCGTCGATCGAGTCTTCCTCCAACTCCTCCTACATCCTGGGCCCTTCAATTCCTTCCAGCTCCCTTCTCCTGGATCCTCCTTCCTCCTCCTCCTCCTCCCCTCCTTCGTCATCCTCCTTCCTCCTCCTTCCTCCTCGTCCTCCACGTCACCTCTGCCCACGGAGCTGCGGGTGTAGAGACACCCCCCCCCCCCCCCCCCCCAGCTGCGCCCTGCACGCACGAAGAAGCGTCTTTCGCGCCAGCCAGCGAGAGTGCAGGCGGTGCAACTGCACCGGGGCCCCCCCACCACCCCCAGCCCACGGCCACAGACTGCAGGTGGGGAGTGGGGTGTGGAACCAGGCAACCCCCCCCCCTCCATTTCATTCTTTGCACACGGCCGGGGGGGGGGCAGGCCCCCCCCCCCCCAAGTTCATTCTTTGCACACGGCCGGAGGGGGGGGGGTCAGGCCCCCACCACCCCCCCATTTCATTCTTTGCACACGGCGGGAGCGGGGTGGGGGGGGCAGCCCCCCTATTTAAATCTTGGCACACGGACCCACGTTCATTCATTGGCGAGCGTAGAAGGGTGATGGAGAGAATGGAGAGTCTCTGTGATTGTTCCTCGATGTCGATTGTCCTCAATCTTTCTCTCCGGCTCTCTCTCCCCGTGTCTCTCCCACGCTCTCCCCCACCCCACCCAAGTGTTCTGTATTCCTCTTCGTTCCTCTACCACGCGGTCATTCTCCCTTGGTATCCTGCAGTGCACACGGGAGGAGGGCGGGACAGCAGCCAATCGTCACCAGCGTCATCATCGTCTTCGTCGTCGGTCATTATCTATCCACTGCTGGAGGGATTCTTCACGGTCTCGTCATCCTACCCCCCTCCCCCCATCCCATCTCACCAGCAGCCGCCTCTGTCCACGCAGCAGTGCAACACGGGTTCGATCACAGTGATAATTGCACGATCGGCAAGGTAGGTGGGGTACAAACAAAAATTGCGCGTAACTCCCACATCTTCGGGAACATCTCGGCGCGGCGTGGAAGAGTAGGCCAAAAACGAGCCTTGACAGAGGGCCGTCTCTAGAGCTGGAGGGACGGCAGGGGGGTGGGAGGTGGGGGTGGCTCGGGTGCACTTTCAGGGCTGCGCTTCTATCTCGCTACCTCTAACACTGAGCAGATACATGGGAGTGAGGATGGCCTGTAGCTCCGGCAGTGGTGCCAGCGGGCACTTGCAGGGCTGCGCCTCTACCTCGCTACCTCGCTACCTCTAACACTGAACAGATACATGGGGGTGAGGGTTGCCTGTGGCTCTGACAGTGGTGCGAGCGGGTACTTGCAGGGCTGCGCCTCTACCTGTGCCTCTAACATTGAACAGAAAGTACTCTGTAAGCTAAGAAGCTCTTGAGACATAACGACATCTGAAAAAAAAAGATTAACAATAATACATATTAATAAATAAAATGTAAAAAAAGGAAAGAATGATTTAATTTTGTATATTAAATGTATTGTTGTTTTGGAGCGAACTAAGGAATAAAAAAGTGGAAGATTAGGCATAAACAAAAGTGGTTAAATAGAGCGTTTACCAAGAAACACGACATTTAAATCTCTAAATAAATCGTAAAAAATAATAAAATATATGAAACATATATACATCCTGCAGCTGCTCTTAATGGTGTTATGTCAACTTTGTATTTTAACTTGTATTATGTTAAATGTGTTATGTTACGTTTGTTGTGTTACTTTTTGCGTGTTAATTTTGTCATGTAAATTTTAGGCTACCTATTTGTGTTACTTTTGTTATGCTATTGTTGTCATGTTTAATGCTGTCGTGCAAATATCATTATATTACTCTTGTTATGTAAATGTTGTTATGCTGCTTTTGTTATGATACATTGTTATGTTAATTTGTTGTTACATTTGGTATGCTAAGTTTATTGTGTTACATTTGTCGTGTTAATTTTGGTATGCGAATTGTGTTATGCTACCTTTGTTATGTTACATTTGTCATGTTGCATGTGTTATGTTAAATGCGTAATGTTGATTTTGTAATGCTACATTTAGTATTTTATTTTTTTACGTCAATTTATCATGTTAAATTTGGGTTGCTCAATTTATTATGTTACATTTGTTATGCTAATTTTGTCATGATGTATTTGCTTTGTCACATCTGTTATGTAAATTTTGTTGTGTTACTTTTGTTACGTTAAATTTGCTGCGTTACTTTTTTTGTTTATTTCTGTCATGCTAATTTGTGTGTCTGGAGTGTGCGTGCGACGAGATGTGATTTGTGGCCAGTGAGTTCACTCAGGGAACACCATCAATTGTTCTTCAATTGCTCACGGGGAGGGAGGAAGGTGGAAGGAGGGAGGGAGGGAGGAGGAGGGGGAGGAAGGAATGAATCAGGAAGCTCTAATTAACACAAATGAGCATCTCCACCTCTGTCTCGTTAGGAGCTCTCGCGAATTGTAATGAAGAACAGCCGCTGAGCGTGAATCATGCTCATTGAGTTGGTTTGTGATTCAACATGCACACCGATGCTGCTACTGCTGCTGCTCTTATTACTGATTCTCTTACCGATACTGCTGCTGCTGCTCTTATTACTGATTCTCTTACTGATGCTGCTCTTAATGCTGCTGCTCCCGCTGTTACTACAACTACTGCTGTTACTGCTGCTGTTACTGCTGTTGCTTCTGCTGTTACTGATGCTACTACTGCTGATGTTACTGTTGCTACTGCTGCTGCTACTGCTGATGCTTCTGTTGCTGACGCTACTGCTGCTGCTACTACTGCTGTTGCTACTGCTGCTACTACTGCTGTTATTGATGCTGCTACTGCTGATGCTTCTACTTCTGTTGCTGATGCTACTACTGCTGCTGCTACTACTGCTGTTGCTACTGCTGTTACTGCTGCTGCTAATGCTGTTACTGCTGCTGCTAATGCTGTTGCTGCTGCTGCTAATGCTGTTACTGCTGCTGCTAATGCTGTTACTGCTGCTGCTAATGCTGTTGCTGCTGCTGCTAATGCTGTTGCTGCTGCTGCTAATGCTGTTACTGCTGCTGCTAATGCTGTTAATGCTGCTGCTAATGCTGTTGCTGCTGCTGCTGCTGCTAATGCTGTTACTGCTGCTGCTAATGCTGTTGCTGCTGCTGCTAATGCTGTTAATGCTGCTGCTAATGCTGTTACTGCTGCTGCTAATGATGTTGCTGCTGCTGCTAATGCTGTTAATGCTGCTGCTAATGCTGTTACTGCTGCTGCTAATGATGTTGCTGCTGCTGCTAATGCTGTTACTGCTGCTGCTAATGCTGTTACTGCTGCTGCTAATGCTGTTGCTGCTGCTGCTAATGATGTTGCTGCTGCTGCTAATGCTGTTGCTGCTGCTGCTAATGCTGTTGCTGCTGCTGCTAATGCTGTTGCTACTGCTGCTAATGATGTTGCTGCTGCTGCTACTGCTGTTGCTACTGCTGCTAATGATGTTGCTGCTGCTGCTAATGCTGTTGCTGCTGCTGCTAATGATGTTGCTGCTGCTGCTACTGCTGTTGCTACTGCTGCTAATGCTGTTACTGCTGCTGCTAATGCTGTTACTGCTGCTGCTAATGCTGTTGCTGCTGCTGCTAATGCTGTTGCTGCTGCTGCTAATGCTGTTACTGCTGCTGCTAATGCTGTTACTGCTGCTGCTAATGCTGTTACTGCTGCTGCTAATGCTGTTACTGCTGCTGCTAATGCTGTTGCTGCTGCTGCTAATGCTGTTGCTGCTGCTGCTAATGCTGTTACTGCTGCTGCTAATGCTGTTACTGCTGCTGCTAATGATGTTACTGCTGCTGCTAATGCTGTTACTGCTGCTGCTAATGCTGTTACTGCTGCTGCTAATGCTGTTACTGCTGCTGCTAATGCTGTTACTGCTGCTGCTAATGCTGTTACTGCTGCTGCTAATGATGTTGCTGCTGCTGCTAATGCTGCTAATGCTGCGGCTAATGCTGTTGCTGCTGCTGCTAATGCTGTTACTGCGGCTGCTAATGCTGTTAATGCTGCTGCTAATGCTGTTGCTGCTGCTGCTAATGCTGTTACTGCTGCTGCTAATGCTGTTTGCTGCTGCTAATGCTGTTATGCTGCTGCTAATGCTGTTGCTGCTGCTGCTAATGCTGTTGCTGCTGCTGCTAATGCTGCTGCTGCTGCTAATGCTGTTGCTGCTGCTGCTAATGCTGTACTGCTGCTGCTAATGCTGTTACTGCTGCTGCTAATGCTGTTGCTGCTTGCTGCTACTGGCTGTTAATGCTGCTGCTGCTAATGCTGTTGCTGCTGCTGCTAATGCTGTTACTGCTGCTGCTAATGCTGTTGCTGCTGCTGCTAATGCTGTTGCTGCTGCTGCTAATGCTGTTGCTGCTGCTGCTAATGCTGTTGCTGCTGCTGCTAATGCTGTTGCTGCTGCTGCTAATGCTGTTGCTGCTGCTGCTAATGCTGTTGCTGCTGCTGCTAATGCTGTTGCTGCTGCTGCTAATGCTGTTGCTGCTGCTGCTAATGCTGTTGCTGCTGATGTTGATAAAGCCACTGTCCACGATCCTCAGTCTCCGTTCTCCGCTAGTGGACCAGGCAGCGTGTTGGGCTGTCCTGGTCCAGTGATGTAGTGTCCCCGTGTGGTAGCTAAGTTAGGAACGGTGGCTACCACCCTCTGTCGTTATCCTGTGAATGTTAAGTGGTACCCGTTGTGTTAGCTAATTAATAGTGTTGCCACCAAAGTTCCAGTGTGCGCCTGAATCTAAACCGCTACATTCGCATGCCCACAATCGCACTCCTGTGGCTTGTCTTCAATGTATCTCTATGGGTCTCTATGCATCTCTATGGGTCTCTATGTCTCTCTATGGGTCTCTGTGTATCTATATGGGTCTCTATGTATCTATATGGGTCTCTATGTATCTCTATGGGTCTCTATGTATCTCTATTGGACTCTATGTATCTCCATAGGTCTCTATGTATCTCTATGGGTCTCTATGTATCTCTATGGGTCTTTGTGTATCTATATGGGTCTCTATGTATCTCTATGGGTCTCTATGTATCTCTATGGGTCTCTATGTATCTCTATTGGACTCTATGTATCTCCATGGGTCTCTATGGGTCTTTATGTATCTCTATGTATCTCCATGAGTATCTATGTATCTCTATTGGACTCTATGTATCTCCAAAGGTCTCTATGTATTTCTATTGGACTCTATGCATCTCCATGGGTCTCTATGAGTCTGTATGTATCTCTATGAGTTTCTATGTATCTCCATGGGTCTCTGTATCTCCATGAGTCTCTATGTATCTCCATGGGTCTCTGTATCTCCATGAGTCTCTATGTATCTCCATGGGTCTCTGTATTTCCATGAGTCTTTATGTATCTCCATGGGTCTCTGTATCTCCATGAGTCTCTATGTATCTCCATGGGTCTCTGTATTTCCATGAGTCTCTATGTATCTCCATGGGTCTCTGTATTTCCATGAGTCTCTATGTATCTCCATGGGTCTCTGTATCTCCATGAGTCTCTATGTATCTCCATGGGTCTCTGTATTTCCATGAGTCTCTATGTATCTCTATGGGTCTCTGTATCTCCATGAGTCTCTATGTATCTCCATGGGTCTCTGTATTTCCATGAGTCTCTATGTATCTCTATGGGTCTCTGTATTTCCATGAGTCTCTATGTATCTCCATGGGTCTCTATATCTCCATGGGTCTCTATGTATCTCTATGGGTCTCTGTATCTCCATGAGTCTCTATGTATCTCCATGGGTCTCTGTATTTCCATGGGTCTCTATGTATCTCTATGGGTCTCTGTATCTCCATGAGTCTCTATGTATCTCCATGGGTCTCTGTATCTCCATGAGTCTCTATGTATCTCCATGGGTCTCTGTATCTCCATGAGTCTTTATGTATCTCCATGGGTCTCTGTATTTCCATGAGTCTTTATGTATCTCCATGGGTCTCTGTATCTCCATGAGTCTCTATGTATCTCCATGGGTCTCTGTATTTCCATGAGTCTTTATGTATCTCCATGGGTCTCTGTATCTCCATGAGTCTCTATGTATCTCCATGGGTCTCTGTATTTCCATGAGTCTCTATGTATCTCCATGGGTCTCTGTATTTCCATGAGTCTCTATGTATCTCCATGGGTCTCTGTATCTCCATGAGTCTCTATGTATCTCCATGGGTCTCTATGTATCTCCATGGGTCTCTATGTATCTCCATGGGTCTCTGTATCTGCATGAGTCTTTATGTATCTCCATGGGTCTCTGTATTTCCATGAGTCTTTATGTATCTCCATGGGTCTCTGTATCTCCATGAGTCTCTATGTATCTCCATGGGTCTCTGTATCTCCATGAGTCTCTATGTATCTCCATGGGTCTCTGTATTTCCATGAGTCTTTATGTATCTCCATGGGTCTCTGTATCTCCATGAGTCTCTATGTATCTCTATGGGTCTCTATGTATCTATATGGGTCTCTATGCATCTCTATGGGTCTCTATGTATCTCTATGGGTGATTATGGTGAGCGAATGAATGGTGAGCGCATGAGTGAGTACGTGGACGAGTGAGTGGACGAGCGGATTAGTGAATGAGTAGACGAGTGAGTGGGTGAGCAGATGCCCAAGTTAGTGAACAAGTGAGTGGGTGAGCGGATGAGTGAGCGAGTGGGTGAACGAATGAGTGAGAGAGTGGACGAGCGAGTAGACGAGTGAGTGGGTGAGCCGATGAGTGAGCGAGTGGACGAGTGCATGGGTGAGCGGATGAGTGAGTTGGTGAGTGGATGCGTGAGTGAGTGAGTGGATGAGTGAGTGAGTGGGTGAGTGAGTGAGTGGGTGAGCGGATGAGTGAGTGAGCGGATGAGTGAGTGAGTGAACGGATGAGCAGATGAGTGAGTGGACGCGTGACTGGGTGATCGGATGAGTGAGTGAGTGGGTTATCAGATGCATGAGTGAGTGAGTGAGAGGACGAGTGGTGGGTGAGTGATTGAGTGGACGATTGAGTGGGTGAGCAGAGGAGTGAGTGGGTGAGCGGATGAATGAGCGAGTGCACGAGTGAGTGAGTGGATGAGGGAGTGAGTGGGTGAGCGGATGGGTGAGTGATTGAGCGAGTGCACGAGCAAGTGGGTGAGCGGATAAATTAGTGGGTGAACAGATGAGTGAGCAAATGCACGATTGAGTGGGTGAGCGGATGAGTGAGTGGGTGAGCGGATGAGTGAGCGGGTGAACAGATGAGTGAGCGAGTGAGCGAGTGCACGAGCAAGTGGGTGAGCGGATGAGTGAGTTAGTGGATGAGCGGATGAGTGAGTTAGTGGGTGAGCGGATGAGTGAGTGGGTGAGCAGATGAGTGAGTTAGTGGGTGAACGGATGAGTGAGCGAGTGCACGAGTGAGTCGGTGAGCGGATGAGTGAGCGGTAGTGCATCAGGTCGCTCTCACCTGGGTGTGCAGTAGGGCGTGCCGGTCCGCCTGCACCTGGCTGAAGCGCGACTCGAAGGCGCGCATCTGCGCCTCGACTCGCCGCACGTACACCATGTCGCTCTGCGTGCGCGCACTCAGCGCCTCCATCGACTGCGACATGTTCTGCACCTGCAAAGGACGCGAGTCGCGGGGAGCGGACGATCGTGGGGAACGTCGCAGGAACGTTGTGGGAAGGTCGTGGGAACGTCGCAGGAACGTTGTGAGAAGGTCGTGGGAACGTCGTGGGAACGTCGCGGGGAACATCGCGTGAACGTCGCGGGGAACATCGCGTGAACGTCGCGGGAATATTGTGGGAACGTCACCGGGAACGTCGTGGGAATGTTGTGGGAACGTCCGTCGTGGAGATGGAGCAGTGTGGGGGCGCGCGTGCAGGAGCTGAGTGAATCACGACAATGGCAGTGGAAATAGATCTCGACATGATGACGACGATGATAAACACGTGGTAGCCTCTCGCGACCAATATCGTCCACAATAGAGTTTTCTGGGGTTAGATCGTGTAAATATATAAATGTGTCGTATGGGTGAGGGGGGTAAAGGTGGCATATCGGGGGTGGGGGGGGGGGGGTGGTGCAACTGAAAAGATCCCCGTATAGTCTTTACACAGCGGTTGGGGCAAGTGCTGTTAGCAAGTTGGCACCTGATATAAATGCCGGCACGGCGGACCTATGACGACTGGGGGGTGACCAGGGTTACGTCACGCCCGGCCGCCTTTGTCTCCCCGGCTCCCCCCCCTCCCCGAAAATCTGACTCTATACACGCCACCGCTCCACGCTACTTGTTTTAGGGCCGAGTCGACCTAGTGGTGAGGGCCCGGAACGGGGACCGAATTGAACATTCGCTGGCGCCACGGCTGGTGGGCACGAGGAATCGAAACCGGTGGTGCGAGCCGGGTTCAGTAGGCTCCCGACAGTTTTTCCATTGCCATACCGTGTCAACCCATCACGGTTTACCCCGTATTCTTGTACAGGGAATTAGATTTTTCAGGTACAGCCGTTTCGATACGGGCTTAACATAATATTTTTAGTCTATTTGTTTGTGTTTCTCTCTTGTGGTGGGACTTTGTAGGATGAACGTTGAGATGTATAAGGGGCACGGGGTGACCAATAACGTCTGAATTGGTCTGTAATAAGGTAGGGCACTGATAAGGGGTTGACAGCTTTGCATCGCAGCCAAATCGAAATTCATGAATGCGGGTCATGTGGTAGATCCAGGGAGCGGGATTGGGGAGGGAGGTAGCTCCCTCACCCCCACCCCCCTCCTTGAGATCCATTTTATATTGAATTGATATTTACCTGAGACAATATACAAGACATGTCTGTCCTGTGATGCAATGTAAGGGACTCTATTTCAATATATTTTGAAATGTCGGGATCGCCACAACTGGATTCCTACAGCAGCAGCATCATCATCGTCGTCGCCGCCATCATCATCATTAACTCGGAGATTCGTCATTTGTTTTCATATTCTTAGGTTTTTTCGGTAAAGTCACGTAGGTAAAACATTAAAACAAATACAATAAAAATCACGACGTTTCGGAGGCAACACAAGCATTCCGTCTTCAGGTGGAACCGTCACAGCCACGATAACTGTATAATTTACTGTGACGACAGCTGTATCATTTACGTGATACAGCTGTCGTGGCTGTGACGGTTCCACCTGAAGACGGAAGCTTGTGTTGCCTCCGAAACGTCGTGATTTTTATTTTATTTTTATAAATTTTACTGTTTTATCTACGTGACTTTACCGAAAAAACCTAAGAATATGAATCCTTGCAGTCACGAAAGCTTCAAATCTAGAATTTCGTCATTTGTTATTGTCTCGGGGAAGCCACGCATTGCAGGGCGTTACGCTTGGCCCTACCACCATCGGGGAACCGCGGTGGCTTGTAGATGTTGAACCGCACCCCGTGAACATTCTCCTTCCCGTCCTCTGATCCGGTGGACCCCTTCCCCCTCCCATCCTCCTTGAGCTGCTTGGGTCGCTAAGCTTTCACTTGCTTTGCCTTTGTAAGCCGTGCCTCACCACCACAACATCGCCACAACCATCTCCACTACCCCCGCTGCCACCACCGATTCCACCACAACCACCGCCACCACCACAAACCGCCACCATTACCACCACCACAACTGTCTCCACTACCACCGCTGTCACCACCACCACCACAAAGACAGAGATCCCCCGTGTAGCCAATACCGGACTTTTGGGTCAAGTGCTGTGAGCGAGCACCTATGAAGGCCGACACGGCACACGAGGGGGTGGGTGGCCAACACCACGCCGGGCCACCTTTCTCTCCCCAGTGACGATGTTTACACACTGCACCAGGTACTCATTTGAGGCTGAGTCGACCTAGGGGAGACCCAGGACCAGTTCAGATAATCGTCACCGGTGTTGGCCGTGAGCGGGAATCGAACTCGGGTGCCCGCGTTCGTAGCGGAGCGTAGCGTTAACCGCCACGCCACCGCTCCCCACTACCACCACCACCAACCACCACCAATGCCACCACCACCAATGCCACTGGCCACAGACCACCGTGCCACACCACCCACCCGCTCGAGCAGCTGCCGTATCTGTCGCGCGCGTGCGTCCCGCGTGCACATGTGCGGCTGCGGCGCGACCACGGTGCAGATGCAACGGCCCTCCGCGTCCTGCACCGAGCTGAACACCTGCCAGCCCACGTCCCCGCTGGCGGGCCGCCCTGGGGGGGGCTGCAGACGCAGGGGGGCACACACCTAGAGGAGGGGGTGGAGGGGTGGGGGGGAACGCACCCACGGATGGATGGTTACGGATGTCGCGATCGGTAACCGGCAGAGCGCAGGTTGGGTGCGTGGATGTTTTGTTGTTTGTTGTTGTTGTTGTTAAACTGGGAGAGAGAATTCTAGATTTGAAGCTTTCGTGACTGCAAGGATTCATACTCTTAGTTTTTTCAGTAAAGTCACGTAGGTAAAAAATTTAAATACAAATTAATAAAAAATAAAATAATGAAATTAATGAAAAATACAATAATAATAAATCATTTATTATTATTTTATTTGTATTAATTTTAATTTCAATTTTTTACCTACGTGACTTTACCGAAAAAACTAAGAGTATGGGAGAGAGAACTCGGGAGGGAGCAGGAGGAGAACCGAGTGTGAACGATTTCACTGACAGCGATGAAGCACACGGGAATGAGAACAAGCGACCAGTGAGGCAGGGACTCTTGCCAGTGCCCAGCGACTTGTGTCAAGATCCGCAGACTCACGTAGAGACCCACAGACTCACGTAGAGACCCACAGACTCACCTAGAAACCCACAGACTCACATAGAGACCCACAGACTGACATAGAAACCCACAGACTCACGTAGAAACCCACAGACTCATGTAGAGACTCACGTGGAGACTCATAGACTCACGTAGAGACCCACAGACTCACGTAGAGACTCACGTGGAGACTTATAGACTCACGTAGAGACCCACAGACTCACGTAGAAACCCACAGACTCACATAGAGACCCAGAGACTCGCGTAGAGACCCACAGACTGACATAGAAACCTAGAGACTCACGTAGAGACTCATAGACTCACGTAGAAACCCACAGACTCGCATAGAGACCCACAGACTCACGTAGAGACTCACGTGGAGACTCATAGACTCACTTAGAAACCCACAGACTCGCATAGAGACCCATAGACTCACGTGGAGACTCATAGACTCACGTAGAAACCCACAGACTCGCATAGAGACCCACAGACTCACGTAGAGACTCACGTGGAGACTCATAGACTCACGTAGAAACCCACAGACTCGCATAGAGACCCATAGACTCACGTGGAGACTCATAGACTCACGTAGAAACCCACAGACTCACGTAAAAACCCACAGACTCACGTAGAAACCCAGAGACTCACGTAGAAACCCACAGACTCACATAGAGACCCAGAGACTCGCGTAGAGACCCACAGACTGACATAGAAACCCAGAGACTCACGTAGAGACGCATAGACTCACGTAGAAACCCACAGACTCACATAGAGACCCATAGACTCACGTAGAAACCCACAGACTCACGTAAAGACTCACGTGGAGACTCATAGACTCACGTAGAAACCCACAGACTCGCATAGAGACCCACAGACTCACGTAGAGACTCACGTGGAGACTCATAGACTCACTTAGAAACCCACAGACTCGCATAGAGACCCATAGACTCACGTGGAGACTCATAGACTCACGTAGAAACCCACAGACTCACGTAAAAACCCACAGACTCACGTAGAAACCCACAGACTCACATAGAGACCCATAGACTCGCGTAGAGACCCACAGACTCGCGTAGAGACCCACAGACTGACATAGAAACCCAGAGACTCACGTAGAGACTCATAGACTCACGTAGAAACCCACAGACTCACATAGAGACCCATAGACTCACGTAGAAACCCACAGACTCACGTAAAGACTCACGTGGAGACTCAAAGACTCACGTAGAAACCCACAGACTCGCATAGAGACCCACAGACTCACGTAGAGACTCACGTGGAGACTCATAGACTCACGTAGAAACCCACAGACTCGCATAGAGACCCATAGACTCACGTGGAGATTCATAGACTCACGTAGAAACCCACAGACTCACGTAAAAACCCACAGACTCACGTAGAAACCCAGAGACTCACGTAAAAACCCACAGACTCACGCAGAAACCCAGAGACTCACATAGAAACCCACAGACTCACGTAGAGACCCATAGACTCACGTGGAGACTCATAGACCCACATAAAAACCCACAGACTCACGTAGAAACCCACAGTCTCACATAGAGACCCAGACTCTCGTGGAGACTCAAATACTCACGTGGAGACCCAGAGACTCACATAGAGATCCAGAGACTCACGTAGAGACTAAAAGTCGCACATTGAGACCCACAGACGCACATAGAGACCCATAGACTCACGTGGAGACTCATAGACTCACGCAGAGACCTACAGACTCACGGAGAGACTCACAAACTCACATACAGACCCAGAAACTGACGTGGAGACTCGCCCAGGTAAACGCATTGGGTCTTGCTTAAACACCGAGTTGTCAAATGCAGCGAGTTGATTGTCTCGGCTCGGTCACCAACGACTTACATAGAGATCCACAGACACACGTAGAGACCCATAGACTAACATAGAGGTACATAGGCTCACATAGACACATTGACTTACGTAGAGATCGATATACTCACACAGAGACATATAGACTCACATAGAGACCCATAGACTCACATTGAGACCCATAGGCTCACATAGAGACCCAGACTCACATAGAGACCCACATACAAAGAAACTCGCCGACTCACATAGAGACCCATAGACTCACGTAGTGGCCAATAGTGACTGCCATAGCATGGTCATCCCTCTTTCTTGTGCCCCAGCAATCGTCCCAACACAACAGCACCCGTCTCATCACCGTATTTTACTATACACTACACAATACACTACACTATACACTACACTATACACTACAATATACACTACACTATACACTACACTATACACTACACTATACACTACAATATACACTACTACTATGCACTACGCTATACACTACACTATACACTACACTATACACTACGCTATACACTACACTATACACTACACTATACACTACAATATACACTACTACTATGCACTACGCTATACACTACACTATACACTACACTATACACTACACTATACACTACACTATACACCACACTATACACCACACGATACACTACAATATACACTACACTATACACTACACTATATACTACACTATACACTACACTATACACTACAATATACACTACTACTATGCACTATGCTATACACTACACTATACACTACACTATACACTACACTATACACCACACTATACACCACACGATACACTACAATATACACTACACTATACACTACACTATATACTACACTATACACTACACTATACACTACAATATGCACTACACTATACACTACACTATACACTACAATATACACTACAATGTACACTACAATACAAATGACAATGTACACGACACAATACACTACTATACACTACAATATACACTACACTACACATTGGCGACGGGACGGCAACGTGGTGCCAGCAATTAAACAACAAAAACAACAACACCTCGAAGATATATCGCGATTGCCCTTCTCCCCCTTTCGGAACTCTCGCAGAGAATGCAGCAACCCCCCCCTCCCTGCCCCCCCCCCTCCCTGCCCCCCTTCCCCTCCCACCCTGCCCACCCTCCCCTCCCTCCCTGCCCTCCCCTCCCTCCCTTCCGCGTGTTCCCATTGAACGGCCGCGGAAGTAGGTGGCACAGAACTGCTGTGGTGAGGACCCCCCCCTCCATTCCTGTATTCCTGTGATTGCGCGTGCGAGCAGCAGGGGGCAGCACTGCCCGACCACGTGACCACGTGACCACGCGCGCCATTCAAGTGGATTGTTCAAATCCCATAAACCCTTTGCATTCACCCACCGTCAAGTGGATGCTTGTCAGGAATTATGATAATAGGTTTTTTACCCTTTTATATGGCAACAAAACAGGCGTTAAGATCTAGATTTGCAGTTTTAGTGACTGCAGGGATCCATATTCTTTGGTTCTTTCGGTAAAGTCACGTAGAGTATAAAATAAAATAAATAAAATCACGACATTTCGATTGCAACACAAGCAATCATCATCAGGTGGGAAAACCACAGCAATAAAGTTTTTTGCTAAAATTTTATTTTTTAATTAGTGTGGTTTTCCCACGTGATGATGGTTGCTTGTGTTGCGATTGAAACGTCGTGATTGTATTCATTTTATTTTATACCTACGTGACTTTACAGAAAAAAACAAAGAGTAAGGTGTTAAGATGTTAAAACACAAAACTGAAACCTTTTACAAGGAATCACGTCTGCGTTAACCACAATGCTTGTGGTCAGAATGCAAACAAAAAACACACTGACAATATATGCATTGTCCTTGAAACTGATTGGTCCACACCAGATACAGACATTCTAACCACAAGCATTGTGGTTAATGCAGACGTGATTCTTTGTTGAAGGTTTCAGTTTGGTGTTTTAACATCTTAACACCTGTTTTGTTGCCAGAAAAAACGGGGAAAACCCTACTATCATATTTTGGTACTGGCAAAGGAGGTTCCATGATGTAAGGAATTAATTGTGAAGTGATGGATTGTTGTTGGTGCGCAGGCATTGGTGACCAAGCTCGCTACACTTGAGAAGCCGGATGAATCACAACTAAGTCTATGTGAGTCTATGGGTCTCTATGTGAGGCTATAGGTCTCTGCGTGAGTCTATGGGTCTCTGCGTGAGTTTATGGGTGTCTGTGTGAGTCTATGGGTGTCTGTGCGAGTCTATGGGTCTCTGTGTGAGTATATGGGAATCTGTGTGAGTCAATGGGTCTCTGTGAGTCTATGGGTCTCTGCTTGAGTCTATGGGTGTCTGTGTGAGTCTATGGGTGTCTGTGCGAGTCTATGGGTCTCTGTGTGAGTATTTGAGTGTCTGTGCGAGTCTATGGGTATCTGTGTGAGTCTATGGGTTTCTGTGTGAGTCTATGGGCCTCTGTGTGAGTCTATGGATCTCTGCGTTAGTCTATGTGTCTCTGCGTGAGTCTATGCGTCTCTGCGTGAGTCTATGGGTCTCTGTGTGAGTCTGTGGTTCTCTATGTAAGTCTATGGGTCTATGTGTGAGTCTATGCATCTCTGTGT